TAACCTAAAAAATGGCAAAGTAAAAAAAAAAATTAAATTAAATTAAATGTACTATATTAATTCATCATTACTATTAGTTGCACTTTGCTTTACAGGTTGGATCTCGTTTGCCTTCAATATTAATTCTTAATTGCACAAATTCAACAAGGTGCTGGAAACATTCCTCACACATTTTGGTCCATACTGACATGACAACATCCCACAGGCGCAGCAGATTTGTTGGCTGCACATCTACAGTATGCATCTCCTCCATCTCTCCAAAGGTGCTCTATTGGATTCATATCTGGTGAGTGTCGAGGCCATTTGAGTGCAGTGAGTTGATTTCATTTTCAGGGCACCATTTTGCGATGATTTGAGCTTTGTGACATGGTGTGCTATCCTGCTGGAAGTCGCCATCAGAACATGGTTGAAGGCTTCAGATAGAATGAACATGGTCAGCAACAACACTCGGGTAGGCTGTGTGTGTGAGGCTGTGCAAACCATGGCCTCAGATTCAGCTTCTTAGCTGACTTGAGTGGTACCAGTTGTGGTCTTCTGCTGCTATAGCCCACCTGCTTCAAGGTTTAACATGAGGTGCATTCATGCATTTTTTTCTCTTTTTCTGACCATTCTTGGTAAACCATAGAGTTGACTGCGTGGGGGAAATCGCAGTAAATAAGCAGTTTCTGCAATACTCAGAACAGCCAGTCTGCCACCAACACCTATGCTACTGTCAAAGTCAATTAAGTGACCTTTCTTCCCCATTCTGAATCCCAATTTGAACTTCAACAGGTCACATTTATCATGTCTACATACCTAAATACACTAAGTTGCTGCTGTGTGATTTGCTGTTTGGATAATTTAGTTAATGAGCAGTTGAACAGGTGTATCTAACAAAGTGGCCATTCGCTTCATGCACATATATTCTTTCTTCATTTATTTTTCTGGTTTTAAAAGTTGACCTAATTATGCCTGTAATTCTTCCTTGAGGTTATTTTCCACTGTAATAACCTCAAGCTCTAATCACAGCTATACTATGGAAAAGAAAACCTTTTCAGAGAATGAAACTAATTTAAATCCTTGGTGTTATATAAGGAAGCTGACCTGAACCCTGATCCCCAATCAGTCTGAAAACAACATCATACCTGTCTCTGGTTTATAGATCGTTCGATCATTTAAGTCGACAGCGGTTAGACTGAGAATACACCGAAACCAAAACTTCGAGCTCCATCGCCTGACTTCTCGTCTAATGGGCTGTGGATAAATGGGAGAGCGGGAGAGTGATGGTGACAGTGCATCTGCCATGAGTAATGGCTCAGTGCTGGCACTGCTCTGACAGGCCGGGGAGTTTTCACAGGAGACTGGAGGTATGTCGTCTGATGTCTCATGGGGGAAAAGCTCACCAACAGCAGTCATGCCCACAGTGCCAACATGCAACACCTGCCATGCCATGGGATAACAATTATAGTACTACTATTATAACACTATTTACAGCTGCAAGAACATTTAAACAAACCCGGTGTTCGCTACTTTTAAAAGAGAAGATTATTTTAGGTAACATTTTTAAATAAAGAGAAAAGGAACTGAAGGAATTGTTGACTCGTCATATAAAAGCTGAGGTGATATGTAATAGCGGTACTGTTATATTCAAGTGTCTTGATGTAGTTCAGACTTTTCATTTCATTTTTCAAACCTGTGCTTTTCCTTGCTGTGACTTGTCAAAATGTTTTCAGTGAAAAGCTTTAATATAATTCGGTACCTGTCAGTTACAACTGTGTACAATCTTTTTTTTTTCTCTATTAATTCTCACCTGTGTATTTTTTTCAGTGGCCTAACATGGGCTGGCTTTGGCAGGAGATCGTATAACTGCAGAGAGCTTCGTCACGTACGTTTTAGAAGAAATTAAAACCTTAAAGGCAGTTAAAGTTAGATATGTTTTCTTGCAGTCTTAGCTCTCGCTGTGTTTTCCTGGAGATTATAAAAGAACAGAGAGTTAAATGCTGACTGGAGCTTTCGAAATGTAGGTTAGCAGGTTGATATTAGCATTCTGGTGCCGCCTCGCACAGCACAATTATAGGCTTCCTGTTCACTGCAACAATTATTAAACCTGCAAATATTTTCTGTGCTCTAAAGTACTTTCCTATGCAGGGTCAATTTTTTCAGAATTTTTTCATAGGGGTGACCATATGGAGGCTACAAAAATATTGGGGTGGCACACCAAAAACAGAAGATCGTGAGGGATGTACAAAGTGACACAATACGAATGACAAAAACTGCATATGTAGTAATAAATAACAAGTTAATGTTTCAACTCATTGTAGGCTGTCTTCCTCTCGCTTGTGCTCACATTTACTAAAATTATTACCATCTTTGGATAGTCATGCCAGGGGGCGCTAGCAAATTTTGGGTGTGGCCAGTGCCCCCCTTGGCCCCCCCTTGGTGGTGCCCCTGGGTCAGAGTGGGCGCACGGCATCAAGTCATATTGAATCACGCTGCAAATGTTAGTACCCCAAGGAAAACCCCCACAAAACTCACACTTTAAATTCTGCAGTGACACACAGTGCCATTCTTATTGCCTCCAAAAAGATTCTACCCACTCATGGACTGTTTTGCAGCCAGGTGTGGAAGTCACTAGTGACTTTCTGCAGCATATAGAACAAGCATGTATGCATTTAATTAAACACTACGCAAAGAGCAGTGCTTGTTTGTTTGTTTTTCACTGCATAACAGGGACACTGGGCTCAGTTCCTTGAAATCACAATGAATAAGCAAATCAGGGTTGGAGTCATTTACATTACATTGCATTTACATTTGAGTCTATATTATGTAGAGGTGGAAATCCCACAACAGAACACTATCACAATAGTTCATTCATGATATGATATATTTTATTTAATAAAATATCAACATTTGGTGATATCTGATATCAATCAGATATCAGTCTGCAATCGAATGGGATCACGTTAGCAATTTCATGCAATTTCTTCCTGATAATACAACAATTAACTGTGATAAATTGTCAAAAAATCCCATATTTTCTATCTACATATATTTCTTATCTACATTTCTGTCTATCATATCTACATAGACAGATATTCACATTTAACTGTTACAATTATGTCAAACTGCATCTGTTTGCAGAAATGTTGCCTCCTATCAAGCAACCTGTGCAATTACAACCAAAACTGGTGCTTGTGACTGAACTATTAGCTTGCTCTGAATTAGGAGGCAGCAGTGGGACGGTTTTTCGGCTGAGCAGATTTAAAGTAAATTTGCTCAACTAACATTATCCCAGGATAGCGGTGCATGAGATGAGCCCTCTTGTTCATAATATTCACAGAGAAATCTAATTTATTTTTAAAAATGCTGCTATTTGGTGTTCCTGTATCGATACACCGTCATGCAAAATACTGCGATACTATGCTATATCAACTTTTCTCCCACACTTGTGCTGTTATAGCAAATACGTTCTGTTTATTCAGCTCCACGTTCATCTCATCCACAGACACAGACCACACTGTAGCTTCAGAACAGTTTCCAGCACATTCACATCTGCAATCCCACACTGTAAGCAACTTGTCTGTTAAATTACAGTCAGAACTAGTAGAATTTAAACAATTATTTACTTTTCATCCTGCCTACATCTATACAACAGCAGAAATGTTCTGTATTGATTCTACGCTTTAATGTATAATACTGACAGCTGTTTGGATGCATTATACTATTTTTTTAGTATGCCCACCATAATCCCCACAGTAAAATCACACGTCGTCCCCAGTGTGCCCTAAACTCAGTTTCTTGTCTTTCTTGGACTGCGGCAGGACATCAGCTTTGTCACAACTCCCTGCTGTATTGCACATTTCCTTCCATGCAGATGATCACTACAGCATCTACACCATCATGGCCCATCGCTAATTAACACTTAACACTGCATCACACCATTCTAACAAAGTGCAAACACACAAAGCACTCACATAACCATTGTAATACGTCTAGATGAATGGCAGAAACGCTCACATTCCTACTGATGTTGGAGTGCTGTCTAATCTTTCGGTGACTGCAGTATTCTTTATTTCTAAATGCACATTTTGCAGTATTCAGGTGCACTCACTGAGAATCATAGATTTCTACCTTTTACAGCATTTTGTCTTAAACTGTCTACACTTTAACAAACTTCCAACTCACAAGTTCATTAGAACATGGCCAACATTTGCTCAGTAATATTCACTAATCATTAATGACAAAGGACTGCTAAATGCTACTATTACAATTATATGGCAAGGTGAACAACATTTTTTTAGCTGATGTAGTAATAATAATAAGATTGGGTTTAATATGACTGCTGATGTATATTTCAAGCAAATCTTGAAAAATATTAAAGGCTGTCCTCGTCTCTGTGCCTTTGTCCTCCAAACTCATGTATAATGGTTTCGTTTTATCGACTATAATCAGTCGAGCTCTTACCCTACATCTCAAAATCTCCGATATGAAATCAAGGGCGGCTTAAGCTTCCCTTTAAGTCAAAACACTTGAAATGACACCGGGAGGATGGAGGGGGGAGCTGAGCTACAGCTGGCAGCATCACCAGCAGACATCAAGTAATCCGCTCAGCGCTTTCACGGGCCTGCCCGCACCGGCCGGCAGCACCGACCCTGCTGCACCAGCAGCTTCATTCAACGCCAGGGCCCACCGACAAACCGCTTTCCCTCCCCTCCTGTGGCTTTGATGCTACTGCTCCTCAAGATGCAGTGCGGCTAGTGCACGCACTGCAACGTCTGCCTCATACTCGGCGGCATCCAAAATAATACCGGGCGTCCATATTGCTGTGTTACCGCAAACCTGGGCATCCTGGACCAGCCAGCATCACAGGGACATCGCGGCAGATGACAAGACTTGACACACTCGCTGCACCATTACCCTAACCCTTATGTCGTGGGGGGGGATGAAAGAATAAAGACACCCCCCTCCTTCACACCCCCCACTCCATCTTTAAAGAAGCAAAAGAGATGAGAAACACTCACCGTTTTCTACAACCCGACTGTTGTTTCCTCCACCCCGTCAGTGAAATGTGTGTTGATGCTGCTGAAAAGGCTGAGAGAGGCGCGCGTGTGTGCTGTGGGTAGGTGTGTGTGTTTCAGAGTCTGTGTCCGGCTGGTGCGTGTCCGCTCCCCCCCCCTCTCAGCCGCTGCTACAGCAAGCTGTGGTCCACACGGGTCCTCCGCTCTCCCCAGCAGCTCCCCTACCGCTGTCAAAACCAGCAGCGACGGAGATCGTCTACGCTCAGAGAGGATGACGCACTCCTCTCACAAAAAAGGGACCAAGCTTTAGCCCAACATTTGACTTTGTGCTTTAAACATTGTATAAACAAGGCCTACATGCCATGAAAACTTTTATGCCATTTACCCCAGCAGGAAAAGAAGCTCATCAGCATGTTTTCATCGTAATGGAGAAACAACAGTAAAAGCTAAGATTTCTGTCAAATAAGGTAACACAGACTGTAAATACTCTGTCAGGTACTTAATTAATATTATTAATCTATTGATTTTAGTCTAATATAAACTAGTAGTAATCTAAAACCTCACAAAAAGAAGACTATTTTCTTTTAAATCAGAGTGAGACTCCTTTGCTTTAATGTTTTCAGTCGTTATCAATGTGACGCAGATTTAAAAAAACAAAAACAACAACAAAAACAACAACAAAAAAACACCCAACTACAGCGACCCCTCTTTAATGAGCGCAGCAGAGGGGCCTGCGGGCGAAGGTGCGTGAAACAAACAGTCCTGCCGGGATGTAAAGGCTTTATTTCTAAAACGTTGAAACCATTACTTTAGTAAATTATCATTAAGCTTTGTTTGCTTTATAGTTTTGGCACTTATTTTTAAAGACCTTACATTTGCAAGATTTAGATGTTGAGACATTGAGCAGTTTAGTCATTGGCACTTATGTTGGCTTTGCTGCCAGTGTTTTTCACTGGCACCTTCAAAAGTCTCCATTCAGTATAAAATTAACACAGTGTGCTGCTAATAGATGTTTCCCAGTGTCACGTGCCTGGACTGGACAGATGGCCTATACAGATATGAACAAGGCCTTGCTGGTGTCAAACACTCCACTGCACATTACATTTTCATTACTGGCCCGCCATCCCACTACATATTTTAAACTGCAGATCCTTCTTCTTACATGACAGCTGTATGCGTGAACACTCCTCACCTATCCCACATAACTCAGGTCGTGTCATGTCAGGGACACAGGAAGTATGTCTTCTATAGACTGCAGCCATCAACACCAGTAATCTACAGACTCACTATCTCTCTCTCACTCACCATCACATACACTACATACGCTACTAAAAAAAAAGGAACACTTTTCAATCAGAGTAAGCAGTTAAACTTATGGTATAATGAAGTGAACAGTTAAGTAGCAGAGGGGGGTGCTAATCAGTTTCAGTTGCTTTGCTGTTACTGAAAAAGGAGCAACAATGACACAACTCCTATAACAGAAATAGCTTTAGGCTACAGGTGGATGCCACTTTTATTTTTTTCACCAGCTTTGCATTTGTCTAGAGTAGGGGTGGGCAACTCCAGGCCTCAAGGCCCGGTGTCCTGCAGGTTTTAGATATATCCTTGATCAAACACAGCTGATTTAAATGGCTAAATTACCTCCTCAGCATATCTTGAAGTTCTCCAGAGGCCTGGTAATGAACTAATCATTTGATTCAGGTGGGTTGACCCAGGGTGAGATCTAAAACCTGCAGGACACCGGCCCTTGAGGCCTGGAGTTGTCCACCCCTGGTCTAGAGTCAGTGTCAGAATCAAAAACAGACTTCCTGAGGGTGGCTTGGGGGCCCGACGTCCTCTAGGACAGCAGCCCCCAACCTTTTTGCGCCACAGAGCGGTTTATGTCCAACGATATTTTCAAGGCCTTTAAGGTGTCGCGGATAAATACAACAAAATAAAAGCTGTAACAGTACCAAAAAAGAAGATTTATTCATAACACATGGGAAAAGACCCAGGGAAACCCATTTAACAATAGAAACTATTTTTAAAAAAAAGATAAAATCCCTGAAAACTATACATTTCACACCTGAGCCTCAACTCGGGGACCGCTACTCTAGGACGCTGTGCTCACTACCCAGCACCGTGTGTTTTGCCATAGAATACCAGAATTAGCATGTCCAGACATGAAAGAGTCTGGAGAAGCCGTGGCAATAGTATGCACCTCAAACTGACCAGAAACTCAGTGATGCCCTGGTTCATATCTGGGATCGGATTCCTTGGGACACCATCTATTGCCAAACAAACTACTGAATACCATTTTGAGTTGCTGCAATGCAACTTTGCAATTTGATGGTCGGAGTCTCTTTTAATTCAGCCCTCTATACGTTGATCATTTTAATTTCTATCAAATGTTGTGGCATCCTTTTTGTTCCCAACACATTATCCAGTCCATATCAGTATAATATCCAGCATGAGGTTTTTCTCCCATAAAGATCTGATGTTTTTAGAGTGTTCCTTTAATTATTCTGAGAAGTGTATTTTCACCATTATATGTCAGCAAAAAGAAAAACAGTGAGCTTGGAGTTTGCAGCTGTGGCTTAATCATATGTAGCTTCCCACAGGGCAGGCTCAGATCATCAACACTGTTTAGGGGGAAAAAGGATATACGTACAGTTTGTCCACGATATGTGCATGAAGTAACACTCATCTGGGCCGAGGGACATTAGCCTTCACCACTGTGCAGAGTGCTGTAACGTGCAGTAATGGTGACAAGGCCTGAGGGAAGGCCACCACCAAAACAAACACAACTTAATGTGAGATGAAAAATATGCTGCTGTGTCTGTACATGTACGTTCAAACCTCAGAGAGAATGTTGTGCACCAGCTCACGGGTGTGACTGATATTATCCTTTTAAAGACGTGCAGACGTTGAAACGGTGGGCACAGGCACTGATGTCTGACATTTCCACGGGGCAAGTAGGATGTTTGTGTGTGTGTGTGCGCAGGTGTGTCTCCATATTAACTGGCTGACAGAGACTTGCAGAGAGCAATGGCACTGTGCAAACTCAGTTTTCGCTCAGTGAAAGACATGGCGAGACAAGATTATTTATTTATTTAATTTTTTTAAGAGTGCGACATTACTGGCAGACACACCACTAAGTGGAAAAACACTCCTGCAGCAGTACTTTAACATATTTTCATGCATCAGAGGCTTTCTCTGTGTCCTGGAAAGCCATCGTATTCCTATCACCAAGCATCTTTTAAGGCCAAAATATGTCGGACTTGGAGTGGGGTCTACACCAGAGCTTCTCTGTGCCACTGTATGATTTAAAAACAGTTTATACAGGACAGGATATATTATGGCAAGACAGTGTATGTTTAACATTCACCAGATATATATTTCCACACTGTTAATGTTTACACTGAAGAGAAGCAGCTAGAGTCTTCTTCTCACTCATCAGTATGAGCTAGAGGTGGGCAAATATTGATAGTATCGATACTAATGCTGGTATTGGTATTGGATCGATACTTTGTTTCTTTCCTTTAGGTTCAGTATGTAGCCCACTGAATTGTGTTGCATAAATTATTTCTTTGGAAATGAAACAATATACCTTTAATAACAGAAATTGATCTAAAGTGGTTTGGAGACAGGCTTCTTTACATTCCAGGCACATTTATATGATACTCTGAAAAACCCAGTTTTGAAATACATGTTTGTTTGTTTTGTTGTGTTAACTCATTATAGTGGAAAGTAAAAAAAATATCACAGTGATATAGTGGCCATTAAAATGTGTTCAGAATGTGAAAATTGGTGATTATTCATCTCATAAGTAATTTTCAGACTGCTCAGCCCTGCATAAGTTAAACATATCAGTGCTGGTATTGGTATCTGCAATACTGGGCCTGTATTAGCAAGATCCTAAGCACTACTGGCTGAAATGCAGCCCCAAACCATGATAGAGCCTCCACAGTGCTTTACAAATAGCTGCATATACTCACTATTGTACTTCTTTCCTTACCTCTCCTATATATACTGACAAAGATTTAAATAATATTTCATATTTGGATTTTTCAGTTCAGTTCATATGTAATTTGGGATAGCATGAATACTCGCCCTGTGTCAACCCAGGGAATCGTGAGAAGGAAATACACTTAAAAAAAACTGAGTGAGTGCTGGGCCATTTTTTTTCTCCTTTCTTCCTTATTCATATTCATATGAGGGAATTCGAAACCTGTAACCCCTTTTCCCGTGGGTGCACTCACACAATTGGAAGTACTTTAGACTGAGAGATTGCAATCTCGCATTTAGGGGGTGGCGGCTGTGAATCTCAATACAGAGTAGAGCCACGATAAAAGAGAAGTCAGTCACCTTGTAACAACATCTGGTCACATGCTACACTTTTGTTTGTATAAGAAGATGGCAGATCCTGGCAGACGTTGATCTGATAATCACATAAGCCAAGAGCGTGAACTTGAAAACAAGAGGAGAAACTTGGCACATGCTTCAAACACTGAGCAAAACTCAAAGAGACACATTTATTAAGTTCCAAATGACTTTCTATAGCAGTGAAATAAAGCAGGTCTGCTGTGTAACACATTTTTGCCAAAATCTGAGGCAATTTTAAGCAAACGTGGGCACACATACGTTGAGAAGATTGTCAATGGGAACCAAAGCAGTTGCTAGGGAACACCAGGAACAGGAGGCGTAGAGACAGACAGCTCTTGCTATAGTGCGGTGGTATGAACTATTTATATAGACGCTTCATGTAAACAGTGCTTGGCGGACTTCACTCTACCCTGGCATTTTGGCCTTTAACACCGAAGAGAACAGAATGAAAATCGCGTGTGAGTGTTAATGTCACATTCACCTCATTTGTCTCTCTTGACCACCCTTGTCAAAGACACCCAAGTCTCTATATCTCCATCTCTATCTCCCCATCTATCTATCTGTAAATAAACATATGTAAGAACAGCAAAGAGCAACAGCAATTATTTCAACATTTTTAATTTGCTACATAAACAGAAAACGTAGAAATGCAGCCAACCCTGACCCACTCTCTGTCTTAAACCTTGAGATATAAATTGCAGCACCTTCAGCATGAAAGTTTTACTTCTTATACAAACTCACTGGCCAGTTTACTAGGAACTCATTGGACCCTTATTTGCCTTCAAAAGCGCCTTAATTATACAAACTGGGGCTGGAAATATTCCTCTGAGATTGTGGTGCATATTGACATGACAGCATCACACAGTTGCTGCAGATTTCCTGCACACACAGTGCTGCTGTACAAAGGTGCTCTACTGGATTCAGACCAGGTGACTGTGGAGTTCATTTGAGTACAGTAAACTCATTTTCCTGTTGAAGAAACCGGTTTGAGATGATTTGAGATTTGTCACAAGGTGTGTTATCCTCCTGGAAGCAGCCATCAGAAGATTGATTACACTGTAGTCATTAAGGGGTGGACACGGTTAGAAAATACACAGGTAGGCTGTGGTGTTTAAATAATGCCAGTTGGTACTAAGGGGTAAATGCTCAGTTCAAACATTTTAGCATGCAACCTAACTGTACTGAGATCCTGCCATGTGATTGGCTGTTAGTTATTTGTGTTAGCAAGCTGTTGAACCGGTATGCCAAACAAAGTGGGCTGTGAGTGTATTCCACAGTAGTGAAGAGTGAATTCTCTGCCATCTATTAAATTTTGGACAAATAACCTAAAAACAAAAAATCAGCGCTCTATCAATCATGTTAATATATCGAAAAGGGTGGAACTTTTACTTTGAAACAGTCAGGGAATTCCTGACTCAAAGAGTATTTTGAGCCATGTTTATCACAGACAGACACTTTCAGCCACACTGGTAGCTGTACACACCCCTGCAGGATCTCTCACCCCGTTATCAGTGTTCACTTAATGAAAAAAATCACTCTAGAGCAAGGACGAGAGTAGGCAGCACGATCGTAAATCAGGATCTGACGTTTGGCTGAGGCCACGGTCAATCTCAAGCTGGTACTGAAGAGAGAGAAAAAATAAAAGGTCCATCAATCTGCATGTCAAACTGTGATGTTGACACACTGAATGCAGGAGTTAGACATCAATGCAGTGAAATACTTGCACTACTCTGATATCTGTAGCTTTTGAGTGTTTGCAGGTGCAGCTTTTAGTGGCATGCCGTTTATGTTGATGGGGTAACGGCAGCATGACTGGGAGGAATGATCCCGTGGAATTTCAAGTGACAATCAATGAGATCAAAACAACAAAGCAAAAACCTAATGCGCAAAACTGGAAAAAGAAAAGCAATTCATCATAAGATGACACTTGGCATTCTTCATTGACATGTCTTTTGTGTGGCGCATTGCGATTTGTGCGTGTCCTTATTTTAAATGACACTGAGGCAGCAGAAACTGAAAGCAGATATACATCACACACGCACACACAAACACAAAGAGAAACAAAATCCCTTCTATTTGCTCTTTAGGTGTTTAGGAACTAAGGAGAGACATTTCTGCAGTTTTGAAAATAAAATGATTTTCCATTCTTGCCTGGTATAGGATTTCAACGCAATCCTCAATACACTGGGTGTTCCTTTGTCTGTTGGTTTGTTTCCTAACAACCCAAATGTTATAAATGACTGACAGGTAAAGATGCTAAAATAATACAGAAAATCAAAACTATCAGATGAGCCCACAGTGACAACAGTGGGAAGGAAAAACTCCCCTCTAAAGAAGAAGAAACCTCTGGCAGAACCAGGGTCAGGTTTAATAATAACTAAGGATTAAATTCAAAGTAGTGTGTAAACACACAAAGACTGAGTGAGTGAAGAACACTTTGTGCAAGAAGGAAGAGTGGTTTGACAGTATAATTTTATTATATCATTACATTTTGTTCATTTTTGGCATTCCACTAAGTAATGAAGGAAGGGGTCAGGGCAGGAAGGATTCTCACAATGTCAAGTCTATTTAGTTTATAAATTGTGCAGAAACAGAAATCAGGCTTGATTGAGGTTCAAGGTAAAAGCTTTATATTAACCATGGGGCCACAACTAGCTGCTTAAAGCGGGATAGACATGCTTTTTACCAGATTACAACATTTACTTTTACTTTAGTATCAGTATTCAAAGTAGCGGTATGTGCACACTTTTTTAAATAGTTAAATTCTAACACTTCATAATTACCTATGTCATAATTACCACAAAATGTATTTACATCATTCTCAACAGAGAGGCTAAGAATTACTCTTTAAAAAGTGCGTGAGGTGTTAACTTGTGTACAGTGTTACAGATAGGTAGTCACGCTCATGTTCTCACGGTGCAATCATGTATTAATTACATCTTTATGTATTCAAGTTACTGAAAAAGAAAACAAAGCTCACTTCCTTTACCCAATAACCATAGGTAAACTGTTGTGTATAACAGGTATCACATGCCCATCTTTGTGCGTCCCAAAAACCAGTAAACCAGCATTTTCTTACATTTTCCTCCTCCCTCAGTCATGTAAAGGTTTCCGCTGTAATGTCAAAACCTGCTCAGTTCTAATAGAACATTCCGTCTCCACTATAGACACATCCTTCCCCACCAACAGCAAATTGTATTACACTTGTTAATTATTAAACATCAATATGACCAAAGGATCTTTTCTTTTAGTGTTAGGTAGCTGCGGTAAAACAGTGTAAACATTTGGCATTTAACTTCAAACTGTCTCCTAGTATGCATCTTTTCCACAACATTGATTCCATTGGGGGTCTATTTGCCTCCCTCTCTGTGTCTTTGTACCTTAAAAAACAAACCCCTAGGGTCACACTGCTACCAGGCTAGAGCTTGGAGACGAAGGGGAAACCTTCGTACATGTCGGCCTTGAGCTTGGCCCACTCGGCCAGTCGCTGCATGGCGCTCTTCTCCTGGCCCAGGACGCTAGCCGCCTTCCTCAGCTTGGCCTCGTTGCGCTCGAGGTAGCGCTCGCCCTCGCTCTTGAGGAAGTTCAGCTTCTCTACACGGTTCTCATTCAACTGGATGTCCTCGCTCATGTAGGCGTTGAAACGGAAGTAGGTGTCCGGGGGCAGGAGAGCATCCAGCATGGTGTGTACTTCTGAAATAAGGATGGAGGGACATGTTTTTGTTTTGTCCAATACTGGTTTTCATCACACCACCTCTAACCTTTCGTTTAGAAATAACTGCTTGTGGGATGTCAAACACTGATAAACAACATTTTGTGTGGTCCTACCCTCTGTATCTGTGGCACTGCTGATGACGTGAGCCAGTTTGGTCTTGAGGCTTGTGTAGGTTGTGCTATTCTTGCCCGCTGTCTCGTATCGCCCGGTGCCCAGAGACAGCACGCACTGCAGGGGTGTGTTTGGCCACAGACACTTACACTCATGAATGGCCAGAGCTGTGGGGTTGTTGATTAGGAGTCCTCCATCCTAGACAGGAAGAAAGGCTGCCATGTTTTTATTGTGCAGAGAAAGATTTTTTGGTATGTGTCCTTTAGCTTAAATATATCTGTTGTGACAGCATGTTGAGGACAAATGAGGTGAAGTGGACAGGCTGTCCTGGAGCTACACAGCTTTGGGCGAGAGATGTGCTGTGCTGGAAAACGAAGTAAACAAGCTCGGAAAACAGTGGTTTTATCTGCCCTCAAAAATAAGTTGCATTTGGATCATTTGGACAGAAATGACCTACAGTACAAATGTAGCTTCACTGGTAAATCACAGTGCGTTTCAGGATTTTAATCTTACAACTTTCTTGTATTATCCCATTGCTTTTGCACTACCCATTTGGTGTGCATTTTTACTAAATAGTGTTAACAGATTCTTGACAGAATCATGAACAGAGAAAAAAAAAAGAAAAGAAAAAAGAATAATCCAGCTCAATGGCTGTCTGAACTGTTTTGCTGCTTCTGCTCTTTGTCAGCCTTTCACCAAGTTCAGTTCTGAATTTAAACCAAGCACTGAAGTGCTTTTGGCTGAATTAAATAGTGTGAGAGTGTGGCACTCCATCTTGCCCCGCACAGAAGTGGGAAAAGGTTATTTCCACTCTTCTACAGGTGGTGGGGCAACAGAAAAGCAATGAAACTAATGCAGTAGTTTAGTTTGTAAGGATACATAACCAGCATAAAAGACTTAGAAATCATTTTAGGATGCACATTTATATCAGACTCAAAGTGTCATCTGATGAGAGTTCCCTGTTTCACTCTTCAGAGTGACCGTAGGCTGTAACGGGTCAGTAGCACCAGGACAACAAACAAAAGCAGAAAGCTCCTGGTAACAAAAATCTTTTCTTCTGCTCTTCACTTATCCGCACATTACATTAGACCACAGTAAGTGTTGATCTTAATGGGTCTGCTCTGCTCTCAAGGCGTTCTTATGGTACAATAAAACATTAAAAGTGTCATTTTAAGCCTGATTGTGTGACTGTTAAGACAAAGATGTAAGCAATTCATATATATTCGTATACTATAAGCTGCAATGCTGAGACAAACCACACAGATTCCTCTTGACTCTGACACTAAATGACATTCAGAACCCCTCTGATCTCAGTGACTGCAAGAAACTCCTTAGTAATGCTGTATGATGTAAAAAACAATTGACTTGAATGTGTTCATGTGTTTTTTTTAATCCCTTGCAGTGGCAGAACTCTCCTGAGAAATACCGCTGCAAGTGCTGAAAACTAGAGTAGGAGTGAGATCAGTGGGTGGCGAGGGTAGCTCAAAATGTTGATGAAACACTATTTGGTTCCAAGAGGAATTTGGAGAACAACGCACATAACTCTCTCAGTCTGTGTCTTTCCATCCCTGCTGTCAGCCCAGTGCATGGGAAACAGATACTTTCTGCAGAGGTGTAAGTGAGGAGAGAAATGTGCAAACAGAAACACACACACACACACACACACACACACACACACATTATACATGCAAACAGAAATGTAACTGTAATTGTGTTGGATAGAAAGGGAGATTACAGCCATGTCATATTTGCCTTGTTAATAAATGGAGAGAAAGCAGCAGACAGTTTAGCTTTTGTTAACTAAAGATTAGAGCACGTTTGCTGGGATAGTGCCACAAAAAAAGCTCTCTGGGCAAACAATGAGCAGGCCTTTGGTTCTAAACCAATAACGTCTACAAGTATCAAGGCTTATGTAGACCAGAGGTGGAGATTATGACCTGTTATTGGAAAAAAAAAAAAAAACAAACACAAAAGGGGGGTTCTACAAGGTCTACTGTATTAGAAAATGGCAGGGGAGAGAAGAAGGGACAAGGCTAATTTTGCTTAAGTAGGTTATCAAAATGAAGCTAAGCCTTGAGGATAATTGCTGCCTGTAAGATCATCTAAAGATATCCTGCCCTAATAATACCACTTCAAAATAACACTTTAATATTAGTCTTTCTGGGCAACTTCCAGATTTATTACAGCAGTACAGCAAAATACCAGTGTGTTTTCTTAAATTGCAGCACATTTGAACTCTCAGGGCCACCGTCTAAGCCCCACCTAATACATTAAAAGCAATCAGTTTTTAAAATGAGAAAAAAAAAACAATACATCTGACAAGAATCCAAACTAGAACCTAAATGACATATTGGGCAATATTACGGGCTGACTGATGATCTCTGTAGAGTCTGCATGTTCTCACTTTGCTCGTATGGGTTCGCCTCCCACATGCTTGTCGGGTTGTCCCGGGTGTTACCCTTCCTTTCGCTCTGTGACAACTGGAATAGGCTCCACACAGACACGGTTCCTTTAAACTATTCTCTTTCATAGGGAATCAGAAACTTTTGCAATTTCCCTCGAGGAAGGCCTCTCGAGGTGTAAAACGGAGGATACCATTGATGTTTAAGGTCACAGACCAGGTCTGAGGACTCTCTTTCTCTGTACCGCCACCCCATTCTGTTGACTTTCCCCTCTGTCCTTCAGGCTCTTGACAGCCAGAAAAGAGGAAGAGCCAATTATGGGGCTGTTCCAAGGTTGTGAGTTTGAAATAGTGGAACAAATCTGCACATATATCCTTGATGCACAAACACACACGATGCACTGCAGCTTAGTTTATGGGTAATAAAATGCTCTATGTAAATAAAACTGCCACTGCTGTTGCACGCAGTGCCTGTGTCCTTGGCACTGGTCCCTTAAAAAAGCAGCATCGTGGCAGAAGCGCATTGGTAGATTTCCTGGAAAGCAAACCTCTTAAAGACGTGGCTTAATTCTAGGCTTAATTTGTGACAGAAAATTATTTTTATGGTTTTGAAAATGTGGAGGTCAACTGAAACCAAGACACAATAACTAAATTAATATATTGCGATTTAGTTAGTGAAGTGGAAAAGCAGTTAGCAGCATGAGTGGATGGACAAGATGAGTTCAGTTCAGACTTAAATTTAAGTTAAAACTAAATAAATAAACTGAATAAACCGAACAGTCAAACATCTCCCAGTTGTCTCACATTCATGTTGTACCTGATGAAGGTCTTTTCCCAGAACAAATTCCTGAAAGTAGCCCGGAGCGGCAGACGAGGCCCTGATACCCTGCCACATCTTGTGTTTGCAGTCTCCAAGGTAGTGAGATCTCACTCCTGGCATGAGTCGATAGTTCCTGAACACATATGCCTTCAGAGGAAGACCTCTATTCACAATAGTGCTCACTGCTGACACCTAGTGGGCATGAAAAGAACTTTTTAATTTTGAAATCAGTTTCATGAAACCCTTCAAGTCCTAAGTCCTCTGCGGTATAAACAATGAGAAGAGAAAAATGAAACTAAACAGGCACATTAGAAATATTAAGATGTTAAACAAAATCCCATGGGTGTGCACTCAAACACTTACTTTTGGGCAGTGGGGATCCCTGGCACTCTTGATCATACGTCCATCACCCATCCGTTCTCTAAAGAAAACACAAAATTACATACAAATACTCTAGACTATCCTGGTGTCTTTGAAGCTGAGGACTGAAGAGAGGAAAGAAAGAATGCAAAAAGTGTACAAATAGACCTTTTTTTTTTTTTTTAAATAAGCCATGAAAGAGCGTTGCAGACTAACTTGAGGATGTTCTCCCACATTTCACTGTCATAGAAAGCATGACTCCAGCCCATCTTCATTGTTCCAACGATCACATTCTGTTTGAACACATCCGAGCCCAGCTCCCGGTACATCTTCTCGCACTCTTCCAGGGGGACCTGGAAAATCCCCAGCATGAAAGCCAGAATGGCACCTAATGGAAAGGAACAAGTGAGGACAGCTGACACCTAAAATCCTTTAATCGATGAGATAAATGATGGATTAAGCTTATAACAGACCGACAAGAGAGAGGTGGCAACACCATACCTGTGCTGACCCCGCAGATGTAATCAAAGAGCTGGTGGACTGGTTTCCCTGTGAGGTCCTGCAACTTATGGAGAGTCTGCAGGGCCAGCAACCCCCTGGAACAGTTTAACAATATATTTCAGTCTGTGTCCGCAACACTTTTACTTTAGACAGACTGATGTCTGTTGATCACCGTGTTTAAAAAGTTTGTTTCATTTACATTCATGTGCAGTAGATTTGTACTCTGTATTAGTTTAATATAATCTGGGTGTCTGTCTTTTTTTCCAAAAGCCGCACCTTGTTCCCCCTCCATCTATGGACAGGACTCTAATTCCTCTGCCTTTGACTGGTTCGGTGTAGCCAGTCAGGGCCAACGCTTCTCTCACAGCAGCCTGAAGAGGAAGATCTCTGGCCTGGCGCAGTCGTAGAAGGCAGGGCAGCGCTTTCTCCTATCAGTCACAATAGTAAACACAGAAAATGAATGACTTTAATGACCATGCAACCCACATGTTACAAGAACAAGTTGAAATTACAAACAGCACTAACCTTGATGGCCACAACTCGAGTCTCTGGGAATTCCAGGAGATGGCTGCTAAGCTCCTCCACTCGAGCAGTGAGGAGTTTGACGTCGGTGACGGCCTGCAGCCCTTTCACCAGAGCTCTGGTCCTGTTGTCTACGCTCACCCTGGCTATTATCTAGGTAACAAACGCAGACAAAATAAAGCAAAGGTCAAAAATAATGTGGAAACTGTTTGGATATGTGTTAAATGACAATGACAAATAGTAGAGCTCATCATTTATAACATTTTTGGGGGATTATCAACCATCCCTTCCATGCCCAAAGACACGCTGCGCTACCTCATACATTTTTATATATCTGGGAGCTGAAGCAATAATTATGGGTAGTTCGACATGTGGAGGGGCAGCCTTTGTGGGTTTGAAATAAAAGGTTATTACATGCAGGAAAGGATGAGTTCATTCTACTCCCTTCACACAACGAGGTGATCTAATTGTAACCGGTATGAAAGGAGAACAGGAGGAGGAGAAGAGGAAGATCCAGTCACGTGACTATGAGAGATCTCTAGTTTGAGAAACAGTTGCCTCACGTGTCCTTAACTGCCAGCTTCATTAGACAGTAAAGGGAGCAGTACACACCGATGCATATTTCCCACATGGTGTAATCTTCATTTCTTAGAACTAGTGTTAATATAGATTTAGTTTTAGTCATAATCTTTTAGTCATAGTCTAAAAGGTCATAGCTTAGTCATTGGGATTCTTTTAGATTTAGTCTAATTTTAGTTCATACACAGTTCATAAAGCATTTTAATTTCCCTTGACATAAAATTAGAAATGTGACCATATACCTGCTCTTCTCTTCCTCACAAGTGTTGATGTTTTGTCCTGTTCTCAAAAAAAAAATTACGATGGACAAATCAAATGTGCACAAAGGAAAGTAAGAAGATTCCTTCTGATTGGATCACTTCCAAACTTAATTTTTCTACGTGACTTATTTAGTTCTGACAGGATCTCGTCTCTCCAGAATAATTCCATCTTATTTTAATTTACTGAAGAAAGTGTAAATACATTTCATCTATGTTTTTGGCATTAGCTTTTATTTAAATTTTTCATTGTACTGCTTCTCCTCTCCTGTTCTGTTTTGCTTGTGAATGTGAATCAAAGCTCTGAAGCATGGATCGGTCATTAGCATCACATTTAACACCTCACCTTTTCCCTTTGAGTTAGCAGCTCTTGCTTTGCTTTGTCGGCTTTCTCTTCCTCACTCTCCGTCTTTACTTCTTCCTTCTCTGGAGTGGCATCATCCACGGCAACATCTGAAGACGTGTCTGCCATTTTTTTGGAATCGCTTCTAAATTTGGGGACCAGTGGTGCGATGTAGCTACCGACAAAAGCCTGAACACTGGGCCGTGGGTAGGACAGATAATGAGTGAAGCCTTTTCTAGGGGAGGCCGTCGCCACAGCTTCGCTTTCGGCAGAAGGAGCCTCTACTGGAGGACTAGGCGAAGGAGAAGAGGCAGAGGCAGGAATTTTAGCTGGCGCCTCAACACTTTTTCCTACTGGGGACAAAACAGGAATGTGGTCCCCCTTCTTCTGAGAGGAAAACGGAGGAACTGGTCCAGCAACATGATCGCCCCCTTCTATGTGCTGCTGCTGCCTGCTCTCGCCAATTTCTCCTTCTGTGCTGGGTCCGAAATAAGCGTCAATGTGGTTGGCCAGCGTTTTGTAGGTCTCATCCATGTTGGTAGACAGAGCTGCCGGCTGAAGCAGCTGCATAGTTTGTTTTGCCACATTAGAGGACGGGGCAGAAACACTTGCTGCTGAATCCAAAGTGGACATGGACTTCTTTGTGGAAACAAAGGGCTTCTCTGTAATCTGCCGCTGCTCCTTATCTGTCTCCTCACCTTCATCTTCTACTTTCATTGTAGTTTCAGGTAGTGAAGCCTTTGAGGCTACTGTCTCGGCTTTTACCCGAGACTTTTCTGCGTGGGTGCTCTCAGCTGTGCCACCGCCGCCCCCCGCCTTGAGCCGGGAGAACTTGGAGATGAAGTCTGTGCCACCTACTGCCTTGGTAACACTGTCAAGTGTGATCCTAATCCGTGACATACGTCTCCTGTTTCACTGGGGATGGCAGGAGAGAAATACTTTCCTCAAGCAAACAGATGAGGCGATAGCTTCTGGCAAATTCAGCAGCATTCTGGGAGGCTTTCTGCCATGAGTTTATTGTTCGCTGCTTGCAACACACTACCTGTAAAGATAAAAACAGAGATAAAAAGGAAATTATATAAAGAGGAACACTTGTATATCAGCCGGAAACCCAGTGTCCTCATATGGAAACCTTAAATTTGGGCTTTTTTGCACTTAATAAAGTGTTTTAAACACTGTAAATCAGTGACTTTGTTTTATGCTAAAATATACCTTATAGGATGGATATGAGGAAATACTTTAAAAAAATGTTCTCAGTTCAAATATAGTGCTTTTCTTTTATTTATCAGTTCAAACTAATTCCGAACAGCTAGGTGAAATCAGAAAACAAACAAAAACATCCCAAACAGAAGCTCAGGGAGATATTTGTCACGGCCCAGCGGCACGAGGGAACAGGGATGGACACAGGCGCAGAAACCAATCCGGAAGCGAGGTGACTGAAAACAAATGATTTATTCCGCCCACATGAAAACAAAGGCAAAACATAAAGCGACGCCACCACACTAGTGGCGCGTAGGGTTCGTCAGGGATAATGAGGGCGACCTAGACACCTCTAGGAGACAGCTGACAGCGGGGACAGCGGGGAGGTAGAAACAGGACTAGGCAGGGGCCGGGGGCATTGGTTTCAGATGGAGGGGACAGGTGGAGCGGAAAATCCGGAAGCGGTCGAGGCGTGGGGAGGCAGGCAGGTGAGCGGTGGGCCGGCAGGCCACGTTGTGTAAGCAGCTGGCGGCCCCGGTCCAAGAGGATGGGAGCGAGGGGAACAAGATCTCCACTCCGGGTGCTATCAATGGGAATAGCAGATACTCAGGCGATGAGGGGTTGAGAGCGCAGGTCTGATATACCGCTGGCACGATTGCTCACAGGTGGTCAGCCCGGGAGGGGCAACCGGACTCCGCCTAAAGGAGGAGGAGCCGCTGTCTGAGACCTGCAGGTGCCCAACAGACCGTGACAGATATTGGTTAACTTGCTTGCCATTGTAAATTTGGCCAACAGAGGCCGCCGTCTGACCGGTAACTATAGAAACAGTCCAACAAACAATACAAATGACCGCAACTTTCATCAAGATACTGTTAAAAAGGGGGACAACAATGAACCTAACAACAGAGTCAGCTCAGCTTGTAAAAACCCTGCTGGACCGACACCACCGCACTGAGAAGGCTGAGATGGATGATATCCCATGGGCTGCCTGCAAGGACTTCACAGTGAATGTCGGGGGAAAGCAGATTGGGGCTTACATTAAAACGTGGGAGCTCCCCTCTTGCTGGCTGTACAGTGTGGACTTTGTCTGCTCAACCGAGGAGGAGCACCGGACCTTCCACCACTACCGGGCCCGATTCAGCACCCCAACACCGAGGAAGCCAATTCGGGGGACAGCTAGCGTCTACTTCGTCGTGGATGTATCGAAGGTTAAACCTCAAACTCTACCAGTGGAAGTCAGCTTCATAGTGGAGTCAAACAAACTGGTGCACACACCGGGGAGGACCAGGTTTAGAGAGAAGTGGCTGGTGGACGTTATAGAGAACAAGACTTTGCTCCAACGAATGGTAGACCTTTAAACCCAGCAGATAAAAATATCGCTCCTTAAGTTCCTGGGTGTTAGCTCTGCACTGTGAGTGTGCTTTTAAACTTCATTAGCACCCCACCACACATACTTCGAAACACAAAAAAGGCTAAATAACGACCATTATCTGTTCTCTGGGTCCGCTTTGTACAGTTTGTTTTGGCGCTAGGCGTTAGCAGAACCAATTCAAACGTATTAGTGACTAGAAAGCTTCTTATTTTATATAACACGCTTATGTGAAGGAATAAGCACCTGACCCATGATTTCTGAAAGCTAGCTTACTAAACAGACGTCTAAACGTAAACATGTGACCCCGCTGGTACCTGACAGCAATACTAGTGAACATAAAACACCTACCTTTCTAACACTATTGGTGATAGCAACATGAGCAGATCGTCTCCTCACCTTCTGGAACCCAGAGCTCCTGGAGTGTTTCATTCAGTATGAGGATGGTACCTTAGAAAAAAATAAACAGGAAGAGGAGAGGAAGTTACGCATGTGGGCATAGTTCAGCGGACCGTTTCCCCTGCAGTGGTTTAGGTGTGCCACTAGAGGTCAGTAAAAACACATTAGGAATAAGGAGATAAGAGGAGCGTTACAACATCAGTTAAAATCTTGAAATCCTTTGAGAGCCACAGGTTTTCATTTCTAAAATGACAACAAAGAGTAAGGGGGAAGTTCCTTTTCAACAAAACCCTCTTTACTGTGCTATGGTGGCAAAACACAACAAGAGTCATCTCTTTATATTGTAAGGTAAAGGCCCTGCAGTATTAGAGAAAAAAATCCAATAATCAAGCACTTTGCGACTGTGGAGGGAAGAACTCCATTTTAACAAGAAGAGATGTCTTCCTGACAGAATCAGGCTCAGGTAGGGTCTGTCGTGCACAATTGGGAAGTGGGGGAAAGAGAAAAGAAGAAAGAAAAGAGGAAAGTAAAAGAGAGCACAGGGAAACAGGTTTGGGATCATTGTCTTGTTGAAAAAAGTCAGATACTTTCCAGGTGGTATTGCACGGTGGATCAAAATCTTTTGATGATCTTTACTTTTCTGTGTCCATTATTTCATTCATTTTGGTAAAACTAATGGAACACCCGTGTGTCTCTAAACTATGACATAGCCTCCACCATCTCTTCTGTACATACAGACAAAGATTTGAACCAAAAATGTCACATTTGTTGGGTTTTTTATGTGTAGGATAGTGGATCAATAGCCTAGTAGTTAACAAATATATTTAACACATGACATATAACACTTTGGTACAAGACTGAGCACAATGTCAGGGTGGACTGCATCATTAAAGACACCTGGTATAAAAATCTATGGATCCATCTGCTGTGGCAACCCCATATGAAGCTTCTTGTGTAATTTGGCATACATCAGCCTTATGTCTCTGTTTCCCTTCATTAAGAATGGCTTCTTGACAGCCCCCCTGCCCTTTGACTGAGATATAAGTGATGTCTCTTTAAATGTCTCACAAGAAATTTCAAATAAATGTTTTTTTGTGTTCTTTAACAATTAATTCTTTTTCTACAGTTAATATTTTTTTCACTTAATATGTTTGGTTCAGTCAATGTGATGAATCTCTGTTAAGTCATTAAGGTTGTGTTATCTCATGCTCTTATTAATGCTTGGTTTAAATTATCTTTCCAAATTGAGGTAATGTTACTGATCTGGTCACGACATGGCACTATTGCTCATTCCAATATGGATGGTTTCACAGTAAACACTTTTAGACTTATAACTTTTAGACTGAAGAACCCCTTCTGTTAAAACATAAGCAGGAAAAAAACTCTGTTCGCAGGATTTTTTGGGGGGTCTATTTGACAATAAGGCATCTATATTCATTAATTTTGGGGCAATAATCTACTGCTATTCTTATTCAATCTCACTTTTCTATTATCCTCAGTCTATATGTCAGCTGTTTTTTGATTATACCAGGGAAACTACCACCAAGCCATATGCATGACTACTTCAGTAGCTCTTAGTACAAGTCACTGCATCAAAACCTAGCCTTTTTAAGACAAAGATATGTGGTATTTAGTACTTTTTTTCAGTAGCTTGAAGGTCATTTTGGCATACAGTAAACGGTTGTTTTAAGCAACAACAAATTTACAAGATGCCGTTTGAGTAGCAGGACAGCCAAAAAGCAATAGCTTATCCTATTTGTCTAGTTGTTGCTCATCTAAATCACAAATGCAAAAAGTCTGGACCTATGAGAGACGCTTATCTGCACGCTGAGTTTCCAAGGTCTGCGAAGGATATGGGCACAACCTTTAAAATCTCCCTAGTCATAGCAGATATTACAAGGTCAAACACAAAACAATCGACCTGCACATTTTAAAGAGACTCTGACATTTTTAAATGATTATTTTCATCTTAAAACAGAAGTTTTAAGAACTTCACACACAGGTTCGCTGACACTTAAAAAGTCAGTGTTCAAATAAACTTAGATATAAGTTTTAGATATATCTTTTATAATCTTTTATCATTTTAATCTCAAAAGAACAGCGTGGACAGAGTTCACTTGTCATGATGCTGCGGATAATCCTGATGTTTAAAAAAAGAATATTGATAACATATATAATATCTCAAAAGATGTGTAACTGTTGTTTTTGCACAGCTTTTGTAGCGTTATAGACAACTCTCTCTGTCTGCCTTTGTTTCTTTTTGAGTGTTTTTCGTTTTTCAAAAAAAGAGAAAGCCCGCGAGTGTTGGAAATGTGCTTCCTCCAAAGGGTGTCTGGAGTCTCACTTAAAGACAGCATGAGGAGCTTGGTCACCTGGGACGGGCTCAGAGTAGAGCCGCCACTCCTCCATATAGAAAGGAGACAGCTTAGGTGATTCAGGCATCTGACTAGAATGCCTCCTGGACGACTCCTAGGTGAGGAATTTCTGGCTTGGTAACACCTAGCTGTCTATAGACTGGACTGGAAACGCCTGGGTGTCTTTAAACTGACTTGGAAACGCCTAAATGTCTCTAAACTGACTTGGGAATGCGTCAGTGTCTCTAGACTGACCTGGGAATGCCTGGGTGGTAATGTCTTTGCTTAGACTGCTGCCCGTGGTACCTGAATCTGGATAGGTATTAAAATAATGGATTGATGGATGGCTGGATGAAAGTAAAACACCTGGCTTGAAGTACCTCTTCAGACTTTTACTAGTTTAGGCTAAAGCAGGCTGTAAGAATGACTTAAAACACTTTTTACTGTGATCCACCAAAGAAGAAGAAAGCTGAGATATCTCTGAGATATATAGCAGTATCCCAATACTGAAAATGCACAGCAGCATTATTTCAATTCCAGTTTGAGAGGCATAAAGGCAACAACAGCAATTTGTGCTTAAATAGGTGCCAGCTATTGTGTAAAGCATCGTGTAAAGACAGCGATGATGATTTTCTTTCTCCAGCAGGTGGAGCTGAAGCACAAAGAGATATACTTAAGCTGGATCACCATCATTTTCAAAACATGAGGAGAAAAACAAATGAACACATTGTGAGTAGTCTTCAGCTCAATTTCAAACCCAGAAAATCTAGACTTGTGGTCACCTGACCCTTGTCACTTGAATCTACACTGCACAAAAAATGCCCCTGCATGAAAACTGAATCATATGCTTAGTTTGCCATCATCACAATACACCTGCATCAATGTTCACTCAATACTCTTTTTGCAGACTAAATGTTTGAAGAAAAAAACTAAAAAAAAATGAATGAATGCACTGATACAACAGAGTTAAAATGGAGAGAATTTACCAGCAGCACATCAAGGTATCACAGTTTGTCCAGTTCTATTTATATTAATTCAGTCTTAAAACAAAACACAATTAAATGACTAATTGTATAACATGTAGCACTTAAGCAGCACACCAGTACATTAAATGTAAACCACTTAAATCTTGTGCAGCAAACTGAGTATAACAAAGGAAGCTGCCGACAGACCACACAGTGAAATGCAACAACGCTGCATAGGGCAGCAGTCAAATAACCATTAATAAGTTAGAAAGTTAAAACTGATCACAAGATAGAGTAGAAAATTACTGTGCACAAGTCTTAGGCACTAAACATTCTCACAAATAATAGTTTTTATTTAGTAAACTTATATAAAGTGCAGTAATGCATTTTTGGCGTGGCCAACTTTGAAACAGCAAGAACAGGAAAACTTTCACAGTTTTTCAAGCTTCTCAGCAGAAAGGCTGTTCCAAGCATCTCAGAGAAGTTGCCCCAGCTCTTTTGCAGCACCTCAGATGTATCTGCTGCAGGGCTCTTGTTCTTTATGTCTCTGGATTGCAGTCATGTTGCAGAATTTGCGTCCGTTCAGATACCACATCTTAGGTTCCTAAAACTTCTGCACTGCATCCCGTAATAATAATAATAATAATTATGCACTGTAACAAAGCACTGAGAAGCTGTAATCCAGCTCCAGCAGGTGGAACCTTAAAGATGATCTGATACACGTGTGTAATAACAGAAGCAGGGAACCGTTTTGTAGAACACTGAGCTGGATAAAATGAGGCACAATGGCCTTCTTTCATTCATTCAATCAAACATGGACACCAGCCAGTTTTCCTCATCACTATACTGATAATAACCCAACAGGCATGTGCCACATTGTTCCACCCCACATTTCTCTATATAGGAATGCGTGGAGAGACGGTGATGTGTATGGTGGAGAAAGCTGTGAGCTTACTGAACATGAATTCTGTGTTTGCACAGCAGTCGTAATGGTTAAAAAAGAGGAGAAAAAACCCACATCATATAAGCTTCTGTTCAGACAGAAGTACAAAGGTTTGATGTTAAAGACGCAATAAATGGACCAATGATGAAAGCACATCAATGCCATGCTTATTTACTATTATTATTATTATTATTATTATTATTGTTATCTGTCCCCCATTTTAACCACTTAAAGCTGGGATATGATCACAGGTGTGATAAGGTATCCCCATTTTTGTGTTATGTAAAACATATTTTGTGTTTTCTTCATTAGAATGCATTACACTTATTTCTGTGTTATAGTTTTATACATTTTTAAAACTGTAAATGAATACATGAATATATACTACATTGTTATTATTGTCATTTCTTTTTTTTTTTTAGGTATTTGCTATATTATTTTGTTAGAAATTGTGTTTAAATTGTCTAAAACAGCCATGGCTTCATCCTTTGAGGATATGCATGGTCTGAGGCTGGTCTGACTTTATTATGTGTGTACGCATAAATTCAGGTCAGCATTAAGGAATCCAGCAGACACATGACTGAAGCGCAGCGTCTTCTGGTGTGCTTTGTGTAAGGTTTGTATGAAAGCATTTGCAACATGTCTACAAAAGCAAATTAACTGTAAGAATATATTAACATCTCGTTCCATCTTGTAAAAATTCAGACCAGCACAGATGATATACACTCTTTTAAACTTTCTGCTTCTCTTTAAAAACAGCACCATCCCTCTTCAGGAGGGCTACCTCGTTCTCCAGGGCACGGATCTTAGCCACCGTGCTCTCCTCCCTGCGATCCAGTTCTAAGATCTTTGCGTGCAAACTCAAGATCTTCCTCCAGAGCTCATCTTTGTCAGTATCCGGTCTGCAGTACGAATGCTCAAAAACAGAAACCTTCTCTTCATCAGTGAGTCCACTCTCTGCTAAAAAACAGCCTGTGGTTTTGTCCTTGACCAGTTCCATGGGGACAAAGCTAAAAGCCTGACCCAGCACTGCCTGGAATGCATCTCCATCCATGTTTGCCCCTGCATCAGAGAATGAACCTGGCTCACAGCACAATACAGTCACAGCGGACTCGGCCTGCTCTTCAGAACAGAGTTCCCTGCTTGGAGACTGTGCTGCCGTTTCACCATCAAGTGGTTTCTCACAAGCAGCAGTCTGTATCTCAGAACGTTCTAAATGAGAGTCCAACACTGCAGGTTCAAATACCATCTCTGTGCGCTCCCCAGACATATTGTTTATCACTGCTGACTGGGACTTTCTGCCTGTTTTGCTCAAAATGAGTGGCCTTTTTTTACTGGCAGGAGAGTCGAATGTTGCAAGCTCAGGATCACCGAGTGAAATGTTGGTTTTAGCCTTGAGGCTTCTTTTCAGGTTTGTCGTTTTCTTCTCATCGTCCTGGAATAAAAGATAAAAGGTCTTCATTAATGGGAATTAACAGAAAATCAACAAGTTTTGGCGCAACAAACGCGTGGTAAGAAACTGCTTAAATCCTTGCCTGCACTCTCTTCGTCACCACTCTTGTACCCTGTCTCTTGTTTTGATTGGTTGACCCCAGGTATTTAAACTCACCTGCCTTCACTACCTCTTTTCCTTGCAGTCACTGTTATAACATAGTACTAATATATACAAATATATATATATAAATACAGGCTTAACTCCACAAGACCACGCTTTATACTCAAAGTTTAAGAAGTTATTAAGAAGCTAAAATTGTATTCTGAGCTTGATGTTTTCTAAATGCTGCAAGATACATACATCTTCACTAGAAGGAAAAATGGTGGGGATGGCTGTATTCTTCAGGTACCGGATTCCCCATCGAATATCGAAGCAGTCCGCTGTAAAGTGCTCACTGCACAGATACTGATGTCTACTAGGGGTCCACTGCTCCCTCTTCATGTTGCTCACCCATTTCTGAAGCCTGGACTTGTCTTGCAAAGGAAACCTTTGAGAGATAGACCGATAATAGAGAGCTTTAACTCTAAGCACTGGAGTGTGATTTGGATTAGCCCAACACTACCCTCGTGTCATTACAAGCAAGCGCTATGATATACTTAGGTGACATCCTTTTTGCACCTCCTGCAAGTGACATCTTTCACCAATTAAGCCAAGCAACACGTTACAGATTAACTAAAACAACAAAAACATACGGGTAGAAGCTGATTCTCTTGTTGTCTTGTCTTGATGCAGTCCCCCCACGGTTTCTGCAAACTCTCACAGCGCAGTAGCGTGGCATATCTGTAGTCAGACTACATGAAAACACATCGGCGAGACCCGTTCGAGGATACAATTAGAAAAAAAGAAAAAAAACCCCCACAAACCAGCTTGTAGATGATTATATCCGGTTTGTGGCCCTCGTAACGGAAGTGACGTGTACAGCATTTATTTTCTTTTTTACTGGCTCTTTCACGTCATCACTTATTAGAAATATTTGCATTGAAATTAAGATTCCCTATGAGGATATAACTTTTTTAAAATAAAATTCTTATTTTCATTATTTGTATTAAATAAAAACCTACAAAATAATAACGCACGCGCTAAATAAAAAAATGTACCGATGGCAAAACCTGTATAGGTGTTATGGCATTTGTCTATAAAGTACAATCGACGTTTTAATCTTTGAAATCTTTCATTTAAATTTACTATTGACTTTCAATGCTTCCGTTTTCCCCAACCCTCGGATTATTTAAGTATTCTAATTCTGCTAAATCGATTACGTCAAAATTGAATAGAAAAGCAAAGGCGGAAAAGATGAGCAGATTATTTTCTTGCGTTACCTATACCTACGTTCCGCCCTGGCCTTAAATCTTCCACGTGCGCATATTTTCCACCAATCACAACGGTCTGAATCACTGTGTTCGGAAACCCACCAATGGCGTTGCGAGTCGTGGTGTTACGGCTCAGGAATGCAGCTAGACAACAACTGTTAGCTTTCGTTTCACATCAGCTGAGCTGGAACCTCCGGCGATTAACACCAGTATCCCCGGGCTGTTTGTTACCTTGTATACAGGTAAGCTCTCAGTTTTAACTTAGCTACTTTAACTTAGCTGCCGCCGGTGGCTCTTTATAGGGTATAATTTACAAGCTTTTAAAAGGTCAAACTAGTTACTCCTCTTTTCCAGTAAAAGTTGTCATTTTTCTTGTTTGCGACGCCTTCTGCCTTCAGACTCGCTCGAAAGTTAATAATTGCTTGTATCATTTGACAAAACGGTAACAATTTTATCCTTTTAAGGCTTCAGAAGTGTTTCAGAATTGTGTGAAACGTTTTTAACACAGTTGTCTAAATGCTGTTCTCACAGACGGAAAGGTGTCTAAACCACCAGTATGGCCACAGCGCAGTCGACGTTGCTGCTAGCAGTGCATATTCTGCTCATCTCAGAGTTCATTCTGGCCAAAAGGGACTACTACGACATACTGGGGGTGCCGAGAGATGCTACCGAGCGGCAGATCAAGAAGGCCTTCCACAAGCTGGCCCTGAAGTACCATCCTGACCGAAACAAGGGGCCAGACGCTGAAGCCAAGTTCAGAGAAATAGCAGAGGGTAAGTTACACATTATGTCAGTCTGTATTGTTGGGAATAAGTCCTCATACAGTTGATCTAGAGACCTAAAAGCAAAGTAGTTGCTACTTAAAAGTTTGTTTTTAAGGATTCTGATGTTAGAGTGGACTTAAAGGGGAGGATCTGCCCCAGCAGTCGCACCTTTCCTTGTTTTTGTTGACGTAATTGCACACTATGGTAACGGCTAAAGGGTTACACGCCCCATTCTGTGCTTTTTGTAACTTATTTCCTAATGAATTTAATCTTTTATATATATTTGTGTCCTCCAGCATATGAAACCTTATCGGATGATAAGAAGAGGCAAGAGTATGACCAGTTTGGACATAGTGCTTCATCAGGGGAGGGCCAGAGAGGAGGAGACTACGACTTTAACCAGCACTTCAAGTCATTCAACTTTGATGACATTTTCAAAGACTTTGACTCTTTTGGTCAACAACAACAACACCACCAACACCACTTTCACTCCCACTCTAATTCCCACCACAAGAGACACTTTGACAGCCACTTCCAGGCTCATCGAGAGGCCATGAATGGGCACAGGAGGCAGTTTCAGCAGGGCAGCTTTGGCGGAGGACTATTTGATGATATGTTTGAGGACTTGGAGAAGATGTTTTCCTTTCACACGCACAGCTCCAGGACTGAGAACAGATTTCAGGGCTCAGGGAAGCAACACTGCAGGACAGTGACGCAGCGTAGGGGGAACATGGTGACCACCTTCACTGACTGCTCTTAAGACAGGCTGGATAGTGGGGGGGGGGTTCTTTGTGGTTTTTGGAATTGAAAGCTAATTTATCACTTGGTGAAACAGAGTGGCTTTGTGTGGCTTTTTGTAATTGCATGTAATTTCCTGTATGAACAAATATCTAAGCTAGCCTGAAAAATGGCTGCTTCCAAGCAATAACTCATTCATATTATTATTATAGCATAGTAATAAGTCTTAAGATCTGTCAGATACCTCCCTATCACCTCGCTTTCCAGGTTCGTTATGTTTACAATCTGATTCTCAGGCATGGCCTATGCTTAGTTTAAAAAGAGTACTTTTCTCTTGAGCAGTGAAGCAATTAGATGCGTTAGAATTCACATTTGTGAAAATGGGAAACCATAACTCTGCAGCTATATAGGCCATATTTTATTTTATCTCATCAATAGAAACCTTTTTCTCATCCAAAACCAAGACTTGCAGGTTTTGCACATTTGGTTTCCTGACAACCCCCCCTTTTTTTTTTTCTTTATCTTGGTGAAAGGATACATTAACAATCAATTCTTCTAACTGCATTTGTGGATGCACTACATTCACCTGGAATGTGTACAGTTTGGCCATTATCAACTGTTACCTCGTTTAGTTTTTTTTTTGGTTGTTGTTGGGTTTTTTTCCTCTTCCAACAGAGTTGCATCTACCTTTTACTCAGTCAGGGTTGGAAATTAACATCAGTCCTATGACAAAAACTGGCAGACTTGGCCACAGGCAAAGTCGGCGGAGGTGTTTGCATGCGTGATTGCTTGGCTGTTTGTTTGTTTTTTGTTTGTTTGTTTGTTTGTTGTTTTGTTTTTTCATTTGGACCAGCTATCACAAAAACCGCCCAGGCTCATCTGCCAGTCAAACTGAGTGGTCTGACAAGTTAAGATTCCCTAAACTGATCATAATGTGCAATATTTAGCACCTTTGCTCTTCATGTTGCCTATCTTCTATAGACCGTGCTGTGTAAATGTCATTGTCTAATGTCTGCACTTTGAATGCGTGCGTGAGTGTCTTGAATATCAATTGGTTGCAAAATGTTTGGAGAATGAATAAAAAAATATATATTAGAGGAAAGTTTGTGCTTGTGTTTAACTGAATTGGGAAAGGAGGGAGGCAGTAATGCACTTGTGTAATTGGTCTTTGTTATTAATGTGCTTTATTGTTTATGATTGTATTCTGATTATAAAATATGAATTATATTTGCATGTGAAGCACACACCAATGCAAATGTAGAATAAGTTCCGTGTCATGTGGTCTCATGAGATGAGATGCAACTAAAAGGAGAAGCTGCTTGATGTGTGAAGCCACAAAGTGCAAGTTGCTGCACTGGCTTCTGCACACTGTTTTACATGCATACGTGTTATACAGTCTCAGATAAACAGACTGTAGCAGTTTTGTACAGTAAGTGAGAGATCCACTCAAGGATATTTACATAACACAACACAACTGCACATTGGATGATTCTTATGTGAAACTTAATAGTTGATTTGACTGAAAGACAGTTTTTCACGCTCTTTTTAAGGGTTCAAATGCATGCTTCATAACCCACCCCCCAATTTTACTTATTTGGGTCACCCAGTTACCAAAATACACAAGTAACCCACTTTCAGTTTTGCCAGCATTTTACCTGATAAGCAATTCTTGCCTACTTCCAGTAGAGGTCATACTTTCTTAAAGCAGGAAAAGTGTTTTGAGCGCAATCTGCAACATTCATTGGCTTATCAGGTGACACAGAGGCAACCTTGACAAAAATAACAACATGGTGGGTTAGAAACCTAGGTAATGCTTTTTATTAAAATTTGGGCTATAATGCATTACAAGAAGGGTGAACCGTTCCCTTGATCGTATACTCATAGGGGTCTTTTGAAACACTCTTTGTCTGCTCCCTCACCCAGTTCTAATTTTCCATGGGAGACCCTACCAGGGTGCAAAATCACTCTGACAGCATAGCTCCTGGGATCTCTGGGACACACAAACCCCTCCACCACGATAAGGCAGCGATTCACAGAGGGGTATCTGTAACACCTATACACTCAATACAATACTTTTATTAAACACTTTTAAATAAAGTCAAAGTTTGAATTTCTCTCATAATCCACTGAGAGACTATATTTTCAAAAAAATCTGCTGTTGTCAAAATACTTATGACTCTAACTGCATCTCCTCTCCTTAAATCCCCTCCCTGTTTTATCTTTCAATCTTGAAATCTAAAGTTGGCTTAATTCCATATTTTTACCCACTGTTTATCCAGCACAGCAATAAATAACATAATTATTTCATTTCATGAAATGGCAAACCATTTTCCTACAATTTCTCTATGTCATTTAGTGGGTTTTCCTCAAGTACAAAGCAAAAGCTTAACTTAATTGCTGTACCTGAGAAACAAACATAGCAGGAGGGTTAAAGCATTAAAACCGAATGCTCATGAGATCCAACCACAAGATAATAAAATAAAATATTAAAAACAACAAGAGAGAAAGTAGAAGAAAAAAGACTGTGGCATAGCAATCCCCTTAACGTCTCCATTTGGAAAAAAAAAATGAAGTGAGCATGTGTATTAGCAGAGAGCTCTGTGGTGGTAAGGTTGGCTAATAAGTAATAAACACTGGTTAACAAGTAATCCTGATGGCCATCATATTTTTCATAAATTTGAATAAGGTTAGAGATCCAGCACACCATGGTCTTGCAAATCTGCAGCGTCACAGAGCTAGCATGACACTGCAGATTTCTTTATAAAGCTCTAATAAAGCATTTGTTATCTTGTCTTTTATGACAACACACATATAACACTGTGATACAAATGAGGTAACTGGTTTGGTTAAATTGTAGGGCAGGCTCTGCTAGTTGGGCATGAAGCCATCTCACATTAAATACATATTATTTTTTTATGCAAAATACTCAAGCGTTTAATATCTATTTCAGAGATGGTATTTCCCTTTCGATGTAAGTGGCCTCCTTGACTCCTACAAATACTTCCTTACTATACTTAGGTACAAATTTCCGGTAAAGGTAGTTGTTTTTCCTGACCACTTTTACTCCCTACATGTTTTAACAAATATCTGTGCTTTCTTCTCCTTACATTTTCAAAACAGACTCATTACTTTAGCTTTAATGCATTTGAGGGAAGTTTTGTCATTGCCAGCTTTCAGGCATCAAAGCGATTTGAGACTAAACTGTAACATGAAAGGCAGTCCTGTTCGTGTATTAATCTTCTTCCTTTCCTTCTTTCTTGCTTGCTTGACACAACACCAGAATGACTGCAGGTGTCTATAAGATGCGGTACTTCAGGATCTAGCTAGCCTTACTGAAGAGGAGCAAACATAAAGGGAGTGGCTTAAAAAAAAGTGGCAGGTAGTTTCAAATGCAAGGTATCTATCAGCCTAACAAACATTAGCAAACACAAACTGTTTGTGGGCAGTCTGTCACACAGTGTGTTGCTAGCTAAAGGTCCAGTTGCTGTGTTTCACAGGAGAGAAAAGAAAGAGGGCTAACTTTACTCAGAGATGGAGAAAGATAAGAAAGACATGAGAGAAAGAAGAGAGATTGGATTTAAATGTAAGGACTGTTTAGTGGTATTTGATAAACTGTAAATGTAAAGCTTACATGTAATTCCTCATGTTTTTAAATCAGATATTCGGTCTGTACATTCAACATTATGTTTTTTTCATATTGTGAAATGTGCTGTAAAACAAATCGAGGTAGACTAACTGCTATTTAAAAGCTGCATGAAAATAAACAGGTTAGTGCAGGATAAACAGGTTAATTCGCTGCACTGTGATGGTTCTAAAGTAAAGAACAATGTGCGACTGGTGCCCAGTGACTGTCGTTCATGGTCAGAGTAAGGTTGCATCAAGTGTAGCAGACATTCATATGAACCTCAGCTGATGATGCTTAGATTCATTGACTGAATTGCACCTTCATACCAAATTTATACCATCTAGAAAAAAGGCAGCAGAAACAATGCTTGCTGTCAGTGGAGGATGGAATCAGCAGGACAACTCATGAAATATCTGCTGACATCTGGTTTAATTACGTTGTGTAAATCCACAAAGAGCAGCAGGTCAGTTGATCACAGCCTGTACACTAGTCTGAAAGTCTCCTGAAGTTCTCAATAGAAATTATTGTCAGTTATGATTTTTTTCCCCCTCCACACTCAGCGATTACAACCAATTTTAGGGTTCCCCCACCTGCTGAATCCCACTTTACTGTACACATTTTCCTGTTTTGAGGCAAAGTCATCCTCTACAATGTAGGCAACAGAAAATAGATATATTTTCCTTTTTTTCCCCTTCAGATTCAAGCTGAGTATAATTAGAATTTTAAAAAAGTTAGACTGAACGTTTGTATTCCCATCTATTAATATTATTTTATCATTATGTTAATATAACACAATAATATAACACAAGGTTCATATAGCTTTGCACACAAATAGAAACATCCTCCAAAGAGCTACTTTTTACTTTCTTACTTTGAGTGCATTTCAGAGCTTGTACAGTTCTATTTTTACTTAAGTAAAGAATTTGACTCAGTACTTCAACTTTTACTGGAGTAGTTTTTAACAGTAGTATCTGTACTTCTACATAAGCACAGAATATCTGTAGTTTTGCCAACTCGGCTTGTTCATGGAAATCAAAACCACCTTTTTTGAAATCGGGCAACGGGAGAAAAACCCCACCAAACTCCGTGCTCCCAGCGTCTGACGAAAAGCCACAGACTGAGCAGCAGGTATATTCTTGCCTCACCGTCCGTCCGTGGTGAGTCAATTCAAGTAGGTACTAACGCAAGAGTGAGTCACTGAGTCACTGAGCAGTGACAAAATTTTCTCACAATAATCTTTCTGGTTTAGCAAAACTGTGCACTTACCCTTGTCTGCTGGACGGATGGTATTGCTGTTCTCATTATTAAGCGATGTGAGTGCTTTCTTCTCCTCCTCCTGCATTGCTGTATCATCACCGCAACCTTTGCATTGCTGGGACAGGCTGAAACCTTCATCTGTAGTTGCTCTGCTTCCACATCTGCAATGTTGTTATTTTGAATTGCTGTTTCTGTGACTGTGATCAGTTCCACTAGCGGGATTTGTCTTGGTGTCACAGCAAAGTTCAACCCTTTTGCTTTGCTTGGGTGAGTTGTCTGTCAGATAAAATTTTCACCCACTTGTTCACATCTTCGGTGTGGCCGCTGAGGACACACACATATTTTTCTGGTATTCTTTATGGCATCAATTTCAGCAATGTCCTGAAAACATTCCTCAGAAATTTTGGTCCATATTGACATGATATCATCGCACAATTGCTGCAGATTTGTCTGTGCGATTTGTCTTGTTCCACCACATTCAAAAGGTAATCGAGTAGATTTAGATCTGGTGCTTTGGAAAGAAAACCTTGGGCCTAACTTTTATCTCCTTGAAGGAAGTTTGGTGTAAAAGAGAAGTCATAATCAAAATCAGTTTGAAAACAAAAAATTGTGAAAATATATATACATAGATTGTGTCTACATTTTTAACGCAACTGATAAAAACATACATATTATCAGGATAATAATGGATTGCATTTATATATATCCTTCCACTATTCATTCACTCTCACACACACTGCTGGAGGCAGCTACAGTTGTAGCCACAGCTGCCCTGGAGCAGACTGACAGAAACGAGGCTGCCATATCGTGCCATCGGCGCTTCTGGCCAACACCAGTAGGCGGTAGGTGAAGTGTCTTGCCCAAGGACACAACGACCAGAACAAAGAGCCCAGGGATCGAACCGGTGACCTTCCAGTTACATAACATAGTTATTCTTTTGGAATTCAGCTAAACAGGGTCAAGCACCCATAAGAACAAACTGTTCCTGACAAAGAGGAGGACTGTATATCTATATTAACTCTAATGAGCAGAAAAAAGTTTTTAAAGTTTTTATCATTAACGTTGTGATCTTTGTGAGAACATCTGCATTTAGACATATTTCCATTTTGACATGTCACGTTTAACATATCATTGAATCTGCAGCTGTAGTTTTCAGTGTGTTGCTGAAGTAATATTCACTGCATGATTCAGCATTTTGTTCTGAGAACAGAGTGC